ACAAGTATTTATTTCAATTGTTGGTTCCTTTGTGCAGTTGGCTGGCGTTTGCAGCGTTAAAGCTGGTCATATTTTGGAGCACTGAATCTGAAATGGTCATTTTATGGTCATTTTCTAGCCACACAGTTGAATCTGAAAAATCGGTCATAGTCCTACAGTATGTTACAGTAACCTTTTTCTGCCTGTTGTATTGGGAAGCCGCTTGCCAAGAAAGGTTTTTCAGGTTATACACCTTTCCTGGTAGGTGGAAGACTCCTCGAATGACACAAACATCCCGATGGATTCCCTCCCACTTCCCCCCGAGACCACCACTCCGCGCTGGTTACTGCGCTGGTTATGGTCCCGTGCGCGCGTTGGTAGAAGAGATCAGCACCGCCGAAAATGTGGTACCTGCCGTTGTCGGGGAGACAAGTGGGCTAGCTAGCTAGGATTCCAACCATTAATCATTGTTTTACCGTAATTAAGAGGCTTTACCTAACCATCATTACAAAGCCAGGTCAACCAATTTTAAATGGTCTTGAGACTTGGAAGTCTTGGAAGTCGTGTTTCATTGGGTGAAGGAAAGTTGTCTCACGGCCTGCAGGAACAACTTCTAGCACCTCTCGCTGCCAATCATCGATCAAACCCCTCGAAGTAGATTCCCAGGGCCCCTGGCCTGTCAGGGGTGGTCAATGGATACCCCAAATCACCTCTAAGGAGCTATAATTAGACACCCCAAACAGGGGGGCCCGTTGGCGCGATCTAAACCAAAAAGGTGCCCAACTTCATCCTCTGCTCAGGTTGCTCAGGCTCCACTCGCGCTTGGGTTTGGGGCGACATCCACGAACCCAACATCGACGTCCCCGCAGAACGCCTGGCCTTGGCTCTAGCCTCAAAGAGCAAGCAAACACGGTTGGAACAGCTTTCGGCCTCGAACATGAACTGGATCTGTACATATGGTGTTGATTTGATGACATGAAAGGAATCATCTGATGGCCTCAGGGGCAAGTGGAGCAATCAATCAATTCCATGAATTCCTGGGACACCTTGAGAAACAGTTACAGTTACATCGGTGACCTAATGAGCTGGATCGAACAGCTCAACCCTTCGATTCCTTTTGGACCGCGACAGATACCTCCGCTCCACCGAGTTGGGGGAAGCGGCAGGATGCACCCGGCGGACAACTGGTGGTCCACCAAGATGATGAATCACAAGAGTTTGAGGTTTCAGTCTCAACCGCACTATCAACTTCCGCATGTTTTTGGCCCAGTGACATGGTGCTTTCACGTGACCATTCCAGTTCTGACCAGCAAACCCCCAGCGCGGGCACTTCTCGGTCCGGTCTCACCCACCGGAGTTCACACGTGGGGAGCACGGTCCCCACGTCATCCTTCCGGCTTTGGAAATGGCTCAAAGGACTTGCTCCGCTCCCGACCACGATGCTCCTCCCTTCGCTGTGGCTCGGTCCTCAGACGTTTTCTGGGGCGAGGCACGGTGGCCAACGATCGGAGGGGCGTCAGACGGGCCCAGGGAGGCTGCTACACCAGTCTCAGATGCATGGCTATAGCGGGAGGCCTTTTTTTCAAACTCCATGATGTATGGATCGGATGTTGGATGTTTGTGTGAAACACACCCAAGATCCCAAACACATCCAATGATTTTCCAGGTCCAAATCCAAGCGAGAGGTGTGGAGATGCTCGTGCCACCAGGCGAGGTGGCACTCGTCGAGGTCCATTGCATCAGCCCCATACCGCAAAGCAACCAGCAGAGGTTGAAGAACCCTAGTGCGACTCTCCTAGTTCGGTGCCCCAGGTGACGGGTCCTAGTTCAGGTCACAAAAAAACTGTTGGAAATCTCGAAAAGAAGGAAAACCATACCCACCAGCAGTTCCAAAAAGGCTTCATGGATCCTTAGGCGGTGCCCCTTATTCACGATTCGTGACGTAACTAAGAAGCCCATCGCCGCTTGTGACCCCTGGCATGGTGTATTAATCCGGCCTTCTCCGCTTCGCTCTCCCTGAAAAAAGCCCGGAATGATTTGAAATGCCTTGGACTTAACTACTTATTATATATAGAAGAACATCTTAGTAACCAACCCACAGCACCCGAAAACCACAAAAAAGAACGTGAGGACCCCTGCAGTAATAGCTTGAGTGAGATCTTGACCTCTCTCTTCCTCGAATCACTTTTCCACACCACCGGCGTCCGTCCCTTTTCCCGCCCAGCGACATCGACGAGGACCGCTGCAGCCGCGCCGACGCCGTGGAGACGCCCGACGCGTCGCCGTGCGCGTCGGCGCCGTGCTCGTCCGCTTGGAGCGGGCCGACCAGCAGCCTGGAAGAGCGTGGAAGCGCTTTCAGTGCTTTTGGGGGGCGCATCACAAGCGCCATGCCTTTGGGGGGAGGGGAGGGGGTTGATAGGGGTTAGTAGGAGCCAGGCAGTTTCTGTTCGAATCTGCCATTTACCAGCTGAAAGATGCCGAAAACCGTCGGTGGGAGACGAGGGAGCTTGAGGGAGTGTATACGCCTCTGATTCCCGAACCACCGCCATCGACCCATATCGATTCAGTCGCAGAATGCCTTAGACCTTGCACGATAATCTGTAATCCTACTCAAGTTATCTCAAGTTTGAATTATACATATAATCAAATACTACGAATACTGATGATACGGTAACATATGGTGCATATGATACGCGTAACATTACATGTATCTCAAATGATCTCCAGTCCTTCACCATCTTCACCCACTTCCTCTTGCTCTGCTCTTCCATCCTCATCTCCCCACACTCACTCCGCGACACCGTTTGAAGCGCGCCTGGTCGCCCGTTCAGAGAGGCGCAAGTCCATGGGCGAAGGCGGTGAGGGCAAGGTGCCCAAGTTCGGCAGGTAGGGCTTCACCACCGCCGCGCCCGCCACCGCCGGTGCCACAGGCCCTGGATGGGGGGCCCAGTGGTCGGACATCATTCGAACTGACAGTGAAAGTGGGACATTCCCTAGGTGTGGAACACCCTGGCTCCGGCTTTTGGGTGTGCTTGATTTGGAGAATCACCACCCGTGGCGGTGGCTTAAACATGTCCGGAACCCAAATATCACTCCAGCCCTTCTGATGGGTCATGCCCCAGCCCAATGCTTCCGTCGTGCTTCCCACATGCTCAATCCGCCATGAACAGCCTCAAGGTCTCTCTGACACGGCCTTGTTTGGGGTCCCAAGGACATCTTCAAGTCCAAAGACTATTCTTGGCACCACCGAAGTTATATAATGGAAATTCCTCTTTGGATCAGCCAAAGATTTTTTTGGGTCTTGGACTCTCAGGGTTGTGCTTAATTGATATCAAAATGTCCTTCAAAACCCTGGCCTCCGGGCTACCCGAAGCAACGCCTTCGCCCGGATTCTTCGGATCCAAAAAGGCGATCAAAAGTGCTTCGGATCAAAAAGCACCCCCCTCCAATGCTCAGCACGGCTCCCGTGGCTTGGGACGTCGCTCTCTGTCGCGCGATCAGGACAGCACCGCCACCCAAGAAGGCGGGTCTACCCTCCTCCCTCGAGACCCGGAGCACAGCCAGACCCGTGCAGCGCGCACCTTCGGCCAGACCCAGACCGCAGGCGGCCGGGTTCGGCTCGTCCGGCAGCCGTTCGCCATCGCCAGCATCGCCCCAGGTGAGGTCCTCGTGAGGTGCAGGAAGAATCAACCAAATGTGATTTTAATTTTAAGCCAATGGTGTTTAGATAAGGGGCTTCACCATCTTCACCAGCAACCACAGCCTTCGATATCTTTCGATGTAGATTTCAGGCCTTGTAGTTGCATTTGGATATTGATGATTTCCATTGATTTCCAAGATTTTCCCATAAGGCCATATGGGTCTGTTTTGTTGTGACTAGGGGTCCCGGCATTTCCGCTGGACCTCTCCTCCTTCCCCATCCTGCCGTCGGCGTCCTGCCACGCGGGCGCGGCCGCGCGTTGCAGCAGCGCATCCGTCTGCAGGCCGCCCACGGAGTGGAGACCATCGTAGAGGCCGTGGATCTTTGCCACGTGCTCCTCAGCGCGGAGTCGAAAGGCTTCGGTCGCCCATGTTGGTGTGGAAGGCAGTCTGAGCCCAGGCACGAAAAATGGGACTGCCATGTCGGACTGTCGAGAAACGGCCAGGGGTGGTTTTGGTCAATGTAGCAATATATGGCAGTCCCATTTGTCGTGTCTGGGGAGGATGGAGGAATTTGGGGGGTTGGACATCTGTTGAACTCACGGACCTCGCACCACAACCTGAGATCAAGGCGAAGGATCCATCTCGAGATGCCACAAACAGAAACCACAGGTTCTGACGGAAAACTATGGATTGAAAGCAACCCCCAATTGAAGCAGTATTTAGACAGTGAATCCTATAGGTTCTGTGCTGGTTTTGGGACGTTCTTTCACTCGTGGTATCGGTGGATGCCGGTGTCGCGCGTCTGCGTGCCGGTTCAGCGTAGCGGTTCGATGGGTCGGGGGGCCCACTGGTCTTCAAGAAGCCATATCTCGCTCCCTTGGTGTGTGTTTTTCCATCCAAGACTTAGTAAGGCCGAACGAACCTGAATGACCTCTGGACCACCAACTACCCAAGATGTTGGGTCTTTTCATGTCTTTTCCCATCAAAACAGAGGTCAAATGGGTTTGAGGGGTGTCCATGCTCCAAAGTTCATTCCATGTTCATCCGGAAGACTTGGTGTTCAGCATTAACAGCCATCCTTGCTCTTGCAACGGTCAGGGCTTGGTGTGTTGGGGGGGGCCCTCTCTCTTTCAGCGTCGATGGGATGAAGAAACGATGGGACTTGTCGACGACTCGGTGAGATGCCATGTCTGCCGGAGGCGCAGACGGGCTGCCGGGCCCGAGCCAGCTGAGACAGCCAGGGTGTAGCTGAACATGCGGCAGTTCTATTGGACAGTTTCGTTAAATGTGCTCCTGCTGCACCTTAACGGTTCAACGTTGAATCAACGGTTTCACCACCACAACGACGTGTGGCATGGCCGTTTGCAATGACCAGCTCCCTATAGGTTGCAACCCCTACCCACCGTGCTCTCCTTGATGGCCGCCCTGTAGTGGCACACCTCTTGTTCACTGGGCGGCGGAGCACCATTCTGCAACTTCACCTGGCGGTCGCGACGGGTCCAGCAGTACGGCTCCAAGGTTCGGTTTGTAGGTTGTGCGCGGCCTGGCCCGGTGGGAGGGGCGCAAAGGTGGGACAAGAGTTCGCCGATACCAGGACACCCCAAGGTGAATCTATAATAGCCCTTAGAGGTTAAGGGGTGTCCATTAACCACCCCTTATGGGTCCTAGAAGGAACTGTCTATCACCCGACTCTACAGGTCTCCTCTGCAGGCTTTGGCTGACTTATATACAGGTCGCAGGTGGCGACCTATAGAGTCGATCTTCCGATCTGCCTCCACCCGGCCGTGACCGGCGGCCTTCGGCGCCCATGTGGTGTGCAAGAACCACCCAACGGTGCTCACGGGGCTTCCTTCCATCCAACGGTGCAGGCGGTCCCTGCCATGGTGAGCGGGGCCGGTCACGTGCGGCGCCTTGAGGTTGGAGATGGCGCGGAGCCACAACTTCCGCTCGGCCAGGCTGCGCGCGGAGAACTGATGCTCCTCCACGCTGAAGCAGCTGCAATTGATGCCTCAGCTCACTCGTAGGGGGAAGGTGGGTAGTAGGGGAAGGTGAAGTGCCTCAATCCCAGACGAAAGAGAGGTGAGGGTATAGAGTAGGGCATAGGTGGGGCGTGTTAACTGGTCCATCGGGCGCTTGGGTTCTTTTTGCACTCCAACGATGGTTGGCAGGGAGTCTGGTGAAAAAGCGTGATTTGGTGGAGAGGGGGCAGGCACTGGGGCAGGCTATAGCAAGAATTAAGTAATGAGAGTAATGAGCAAGCTGACGGGCAATGGCCTCCGTGCCGGGCTAAGTCGTACGGTTGAAGAATTCAGCGCCAAATGCCGGGGCTGGAGACTTGATGGCGGCGATTCATCACACACCATGAGGATCCAACCACCCCAGGCAGTGTTCCAAATCTCACGCTCATCAAAAAAACACCCCGGTCGGCATCCTCCATCAACCGTTGTCGACGCACTCACTCCGAACCAACGGATGTTCAGACCAATCTACCAGCAACAAATGCATGTAATTTCACATGTCATCAAAGGTCAGCTGCAAATGTGTGAAATGACGGTGCCAGTGACCCTGCCACATGACCAAACGGCTGAAATGCGGTATGAAGTAACTGGCGTGACATGTGAAATGCAGTAGACCCTGCTACATGACCCTGCCGCACCGAACTTCCAGCCCGGCAAGAAATGGGCTCCGATCCAAGATGCCAATCTTCTCGCAGCAAATGGACCGCTCAGTCACATACATCTCACTCAGCTGATGTGCACAGGTCCTCAGATGATCTGAGTCACAACATGGTCCAGTCATACATGAGGACTCGACGAGTCAACGAGCGTATAGTGGTGGTTTCAGAGGTTCGAAGGCACTGGCACCCAAAAATGTCTTAGACAAATGGGGGTCCACCACCGACGTTGGGGTAACTTGTGCCACCTACTCTGAAAACGATGATTGTTGGGCTTGGTGTGGTGCTCTGGAACATTTCTTGGAGCAACCTGGTGCGGAAAATTCAAGGACACCTCAAAACCTCGTGGAACACACCCACTTTCATTTCTTCATGCTTTTGAGATATGCTGCAAAGGTTTCCCCCAAAGCGCTCTCAAGCATTCCCAAGCACTTGGCATTAACAAACTGGTCCAACATGAACTTCCATGGATCAAACCACCAGCCAAGCGGCTCATCTTCATAGAAAATGAATCGGGCATGGTCTTGCCTGCGGAATGAAAGGGTCCGCCAGCCAAATTGCATCACGATTCTTCAACTCTCTGGGATACGTTCTCGCTGGTTTTATACAGCTACTGAGCTGAGAGACCCCAAATCGAAGCCCAAAAAACACCCGAGTCACCCCATACTTTATATTGAAAAAATCGCCAACAGTTTCTTGTACAAATTTCTTATCTCAACAATCCTAATTTCTGGTGGACCTCGCTCCTGGCATTCTTGTGGGAAACCAAAAGCATCAACTAACCCCAACTATTCTGTATAAGTAAGCATGAGTTATACTCCTGACTCACCTGCATGGAAGTGGATGGCATGGCCCCTTGGAAGACCACTTTCCTTTATGAACCGGTGGCGTTTTCTCACTTCCATGTGGTGTGTTCGTCGGAGTGTCCCCCACCAGCGCCGGCAAAACCCACCATCCACATCCATCCTGTTCACGTGCAGCTCACAGTAGAGGACCGAGGCAGTAAAGCAATCATCGTAGTGTACCAGGTATCCCGCCATCAACCGCCCTTTCGTCAGCTCGTGCAAGTCCGCCGAGCACGGAATCGGATCCTCACGTCGTCGCCCAGGATGGGGGAGAAGACGCAGAGAGGGGAAGCGTCACAGGGAAAGGCGAAGGGAAGAGGGTCCCAAATGGACTACAGTAGTTCAAATAGAAAAACGATTTGAACAGTTCAGGTGCTCTACAGATGGGAGATGTTTTTGTGGCATCCAAGATTTGGCCAAAAAAAACACGGTAAATAGCAGGCAAATTCTGCAAGCTAAGCACCTCTGCAAGGTTTGGAGTTTCTTGTATACAAACATGTTGTTTGGACCGGGCCTTCAGGGAAGAAAAAAGAAAAACAACAACAATAGTTATATATATATAGGTTAGACCAGGTGGAGGAGTGATCAACTTCCCAGGTAACAAGTTCTTTTCTTCTGGTGTCTTCTCTATAGGCGTTTCCATTGCTCCAGCAGGTTGTAATTTCTAGACGTTCAAAAGTGTCTTAGTTGTGGACACTAAAGGAAAGCTGCTGCAATCGTCACAAGGATTTTTCTTGGCCAGATATGTCAAGTTGCTTTGTCTGGTTTGGCTCTTTCAAAGAAGGTAGTGAGCCACGTGCCGTGCAAGAAAATGGCTTTGCCTTCTATCCAGGCAGCAAGTTGCATATTCTGTTGGTTTTCTTGTCATAGTTCTTGCTTCCCTTGGTTTGGACCAGATGCCGGCCAAACCTACAGCAATTAAGTAGATAAAATCGTATATTATGTGGTATTATATATTGTGTATGATTGATCCTGGGCAAAGAAAGATCCTTTCGCATGCACATCTTGCCTAGGTCTCAGAACAGTTTTCTGTTGCCTTGGCTTTTTGTGTTTCCCATGCGAATTGGGATACCGAACGCGCTCTCTCAGACACACAGGCTGTTACGAAGCTCAAGTCCTGGGGACCCACCAATCAAACATAATTACCTGGCTCCCCTCCTCCCAAAAAGAAGAAGATACCTATACCGCTTCCTGTAATAAGATGTAATAAGTAGCTTCTCCATTTGAAATACCTTGCCCTGTTCCCAAGCCGGCCGGGCCCACACCACACCCGCCTGCCCCCCTGCCACGAGCCGAGGCTCGCAGGTGATCCGAAACGGCGGGAAGAGCGACTGCGTCACCAGGCGCGTGATGCGGGACACGTCCAGGACCCAGCGCGAGCGCTCCTCCTCCGCGTCGCGCTCGCAGCTGCCGCGCAGGCCGAAGTAGTAACAGGCGCCCTGCGCGAAGAGCGAGATCCTCAGGTTGCGAGCTCCGCAGGACTCACCGTTGCGGTGGAGGTTCTGACAGGAAAACCCCCTCTTCTTTTGCTTCCTGAGGATCCATGAAAGTCTGGTCAACAAAAGGGCACGTCAATGATGCGCGATCAGGCGCGGAAACAAAGGCATATGGCCCACATACAAATACACTTCCGGACTGTTGGCAGCGGTGTGACCCGAAAAATCATGAACAATCCATACACCCAGCACGACGCGCAAAAAATCCCAAGGATCTTGAAGATCTTGAACTCCGAAAAGTTCATGCCCGCTTGTGTGCTCCTCAGGACGTGAGGAGCAGAAAACAGCAGGCAGGATCTTGTGCCGTGCTGACCCCGTGCGCGTGCGATCAGACCGGCGCACGCGGCGCCGGTCTCGCATGATGAGGGCCACGGTTAGGGGACAAATGCCAAGACAAAGGTGGTAGAACCACCCTAGAAGTCGTGGCCCACCATGGTTTTACTAGCCTGAATCCCGGTCCCAACCATTGTTTCACTAAGGGTTTTACACCACAAAACCAGATCAACCATTTTAAAATGGTCTTTGACTTCCAGGAATCCAGGGACCAGACTCAGAGTGATTTTCCATCGATATACACTCTAGACTCTCTAGAGACGTTGACCTTCATTCGATCGGTTCGCTTGGGGGGCACCGCTGGATATCTGGCCAAGTAGGTAAAAATCTAGAAGGTGTCACACCAGGAGGGGTTTATGAAACACGTGCCGCTGAAACACTGAAGGTACATGGCCTTACATGGCAGTAAACAGCCATGCTGAAACAGCCATGGCCAGGCCACATGCCAAGACGAACGTAACAGCAAGGAGGACAGTTATTGTCCGTGTCTCCCTTCAGGCAAGATGGGGACCTCCAGTTGGCTGGAATCCGGCTTCCTCTTACAACTGGGAAATATATGCCCAGCTCAACCAATCCCAAATCACAAATCATCCATCATCTAATGAGAAAAGGGGCATTCCTGAGAGTCCCTTCAGCTAGCTGACTAGCTGGCAGCTGACCTTCTCAAATACATTGGGCGATCTAATGTTCAACCAAGGCGCTGAAACTTGCAGTTTCTCACCAACGTGAAGGGAGACAAAGAGATGGCCACCTCCATTTGGTCTCTGATGGGTCTTTCGAGCGTGGCCAAAGCTCATGCCGAAAAATGGTGCCAAAAACTATTCCCAATGGTCTCCAGCGGGAGAAGCCATGCGCAAACCGCAACAAGAAGCGCTCTGTTGCTCAACCTTCTTCCTTGCCTTCCAGAACAGGAGACCAAACACATCAAAAGAACCAAATCTAAACAGATGTGTTCCAATCCATCGCGTCTTTCATGTTTCCCCTCACAATAGAGGGGTCTCCTGTTGCCATGACACCTGAAGGCCATATGAACCCCCATCTAAATCCTCACCCCTCCACCGGTTTCCTGCGACGAGAACACCGCGGTCCACCCGGCGTCTCGGACATGGGGTGGAAACGTCAGTTTACTGGATCCCGTCAGTTCGTGGGTTAAGACATGTTCGTGGGTTAAGTATGGTTAAGTGATAAATGACTGCAAATACATGGGTTGATTTGTTGAAAGAACACCTCTTAGTATTTGTAGTCATTTATGTGTAGCTCACGAAAAGCTTCCACGAGGCAACAATTGAAGCCTAAGAGGTCTTAGTATCCTTAGGTCCCTCTGAAACATCATCCTTTAGGGCACATCAAACCAGTTAAGGCTTGGAAACCCGTCTTCTTCAGTCATGCCAAGATGCTTGGCTCACAATACTGACTTTCAATTGAGTTTTACTATTTTGAGGAAGACTTCAAAGATCCCATCATCTTGGTCCAAGCCTTGCTCACCTATATGTTTCTCCGGACCGGTGGAGTCCTGAAGGTGCTCGTTTCGAGTCCACGTCTTCCGCCGCCCACGACGGCTCGTCAAGACTCCCACCTCCTGGCCGTCGGCGAAGAAGCGGAAGCCGTTCACGTGGAGAAAGACCCTCACTTGGTCCACCTTCTCCTCGCGTGTTTTAGGCCCTCTTCCCGGAAAGGAGAGCGCGGGAAACTTCGGGAATGGAGCCAGCGTTTGGGTGGGCGGCGAAAGTCTTCGGAACATGTAGAAATTTGAAACCTGACATGCTTGGAAAATCTTGGAAACCATTGGTCTGTATCTATCCCCACTGGTGTTGACTTTTGCATGCTTCTGAAGGGGTGATCTCAATTGATCTCATGCACTTGCCGGACATCCCACACCTCTCAGCTGCAAATCCCCCTGGGTTTGCAATTCCAGTGTGACCCCGCAGCGTCGAGGAACACCAGATCTTTCGCAAACATGGAGCTCAGTCTGAACCACCCCTGCTACAGGGGTGGAAGGAAATGTGTGGCATGGCCCCTATGGAAGACCTCTAGAAAGAGGGCGGGGCGTTAGTGTGAGAGTGTATCACCGGCTATTTCCAATTCTTGGTTCCTGCCATCCAGGAAAAATCTAAGCCACTGAGTGCTGTTTGTAGTGTTTCTCTGCTGCCAGGCGTGACGCCTGGTCCTTTCCACGATGCTATGATGGCTTCCGGTCGAGACGCTGAGATAGGATAGGGTCGTCCAGTTCTTCTATGGGTCAAAACCAGGATACCTTGGTTAACGTACCGGGGAGGTCAAGCTATATGGTGGACCAGGGTTCCAGGTTTTGCCCCATCCCCACATGGTCTATGAGTCTATGGGTCTTGTAATCAACTCCTTGAAGATGACTCTAGCCATGATTTGAAGCATCCAACGGCCTTGGGCCAGAGTGCACTGCGTCGTTGATCGGTCACAGCTCCAAGACGCCTGTTCAACACTCCCACAGGTCAGTGTTTAGACGCCTGGGGACAGGTCCAAAAGTCTTGAGCATCTGGATGTCCCCCACATGGCTCTCAAGTCCGAAAAGAGAACACTTTCTGGTTGCCCATCTCTCTTTTCACATCTAGACATACACGCCCAAGAAATACACATGCTGACGTGGAAGGCCTTGCAGGCGCCTAACAAGATGATCAGGCTTCCTCAAGCTGGTTTGCTCTTCCACTTCCATTGTCAGGGAGTGTAATCCCCACAGACTGGACCCTTCATCCGACCCCTTGATGCTCGCGCTGCGCAACCCCTTCGGACCTCCATGGGGCCCTTTCAACCCAGGTTTTTCCTCTGGAAGAGACCTCCACGGGGGGGCCCTGGTAACAGGAAAGCGCTGCATCGTGGTCGCGTGCATCGTGGAAGGCTATTGAAACGATGGCCTTCCTCAGGCCTGCTTCATGCTCACCATGGGACCATAAAGAGTGACTTGACTTCTGGACCTCTGCGACTGTCAAAACCAAACAAAAACACTCCTTCTGCTTCTTCCAAGTCTTCCCACACCTCCCACTCTCTCTTCTTCCCCCGCCACGCCACGCGCCGGACCCGACCCCCCCCCCAACCCCACCGCACCGAAGCTCCCCGCGTCCACCGCGCGCGCGGTCTCTCTCTCCTCCGTGGAGAGGTGCCACAGGTCGCCCTCGCGGATGGGGACGCCCCTTAAGGGTTGGTCGGCGGACATGGAGTAGGCCAGTCGGCCCATGGGCGGCGGCAGCTTTGGCAGGACCTTCTCCTCGCCGCCGACACCCACGGAGAGATCGGACACGCGCGGACGGCCGCGGGACCTTCCAGATGCCACGCACGGCGATGGGGAAAGGTTTGAAGCCAAAAAGAAGGTGCTGTAGAAAGACTTTGGGCGGTCATGCTGAATCACTGAAGTAGCATGAAACATGTCGAACAATTGAACTTCTCCCTCCCTCCTGCTCGCGCGCGCGCTCTCTCTCTCTCTCTGTGCTTGTCGGCTTGCTCCAAAGCTTATTTTAGGAGATGGAGATTGTCACCTTGCGACGCGTACAGTAATTGCACCACTTGGACTTGTATCTTATATGATCTTATTATGATCTTATATGCATGTTGTCCATATGCCATAGACCCTCCAAGCATACTTGTATATGGATCATTCACGGATCGATAGCAATGCAGTCTGCATGCAGTCTGCATGCAGTCTGCAGAAGCTCACCAGCTCCCATTCCACTCGATCTTCAACCGGAGCTCACCAGCTCCACCCGACCGGTGACCGGTGATGCGCCGGTGACCGCTTCGTTCACGCCGCGTCCTCTTCGACCTCTTCCAGTGGAGGCATCCCCGGCGCGCGGTCCACGACCTCGCGCTCCACCTGAGGGAGAAAGGTCTGCAGGAGGAGGAAAAGGGTCTGCAGGAGGAGGACTTCATCGTGATTTCTTAGAAGACATATGATATAGTATCTTGTTTGAAGCTGTTGCATAAAAAGCACATAATGTCGCCGTACTAGTAGGGCCAAGTGTGTTCGATCATGATTTCTGGCATCTTCAAGCCAACTTCCAATTGATCCTACTACTGTCCGTGCGCCCAAAATAAGCACGGTGTGTCGCATGCCCTGAGTTTCCTCGATCAAACCCGCTTGGCATAGGGTGATGCAGAACCTCCTGGGTCCACCACCTCCGAAGTCCCACAGATGCAGCGGCACAGCGCGCCCGCGCTCGCCATGCCATCAGCACCCAGGTTGGCGGTGAAGACGACACCGCCGACGGACCCCGTGGAGTGGAACGGACCGACAGTGCAGCTGATGAGGCGATGGTACAGTTTGAGGTTGTTCCATCTGATCTTGGGAGGTCAACGCGACAAAACGGATCAAATCCGAATCCTTTGGAGATGAAAAGGATGAAATTTGGGTTTCAATGATGGTAGGGTGATGAACCTGTGTGTCCAGCATCTCTTCCGATCCCAAACCTCCTTGCAGCTGTATGGGTTGGATCACTGAGTTGGATCATCCCACGAACTGGGAGAACTGGGGCGGGCTTCAGCAGGGTGAAGAGGGGTCATAAGAGGACCACCTGCCAATAGGTTTAAGGACTTTTTAAGTACTGTAATGTATGAGCCCCATGTGTTCTTTCTCGTGGGATCGTTTCTACTTCTGGTCTCTGCTGTGTTTCATGTTGCGCCCGCTGCTCTCTGAGCCGTGGCAGGTGGAAGAGTGAAAAAGGCAGCCTGATCTAAAATCCGGTATGAAAAGGAGGTCTTGTAAGGAGGTCTGGTGTGATAGAAATACAATACACCATGTCTAGAGGAGGAACTGGGCCTTGAGAACCAAATTACCCACCCAAACACCCACAGGTTGAGAGCCTTCAGAGACACCCAAACACTGTCAGAGACACCCAAGGTGTTCATGCTTGCGGGACGGGGTTGGGACCTTGGGGGGCCCTGACAAATCAAAAAAACTCATACACTCTGACTCACTCACATGGAAAACCACCTGTTTCGTTGTCAACGAAAATCATCTTCACAGGGTCCATTGTCCAATTCCATGTTAGTGAGGTAGAGTGTAGCATGGTTCCAAAGGAGTTCGCAGTTCACTCCAATCATCAATCCTTCAGTCCGTCTAACCCAGACCACATCCAGTTCATGCTACCCAGTTCGCAGTTCCTCCACCTCATCTGGATGGGAGGTGGATGGTACCCAGAACGCAACATCATTGGATCTGGCACCATTCACCATCCACCTCCCCCCATCCGTGCCATCGTCCGATGCCCTGCCGCCCAGTGGCGCCACACACAGCTCGGCGACGGCTGGGGAGCTGATCTGGCCACGGAGGGGACGGAGCGGAGGGTGGGTGCGGGGTGAGTGAAAGATGAGCCAGTTGACCAGGGGAGTGTCGTCACAAAAAGGGAGGTACCAAAACGGGGGTGAAGATGAATCATCTTCTACCTAGCACTTCCAACGGGTGCCCTGTCTGGAGACCTGTTTACGTAGCGTAGGGTAGTCTATTGGACACTCATTGGATGATCCTGGCATGAAATTGCACAAAAACAAATACCACCCAACTGTCCAACTCACTGGCTCATTCCAGTTATATAGATCGCGTGTCGTGGGCGAAACGCTCTTGCACACCTCACTGACAGGTGCATACGCTCACAGAGCCCATAAGTCAGCCCAAGTACCAAAGTACCAAAGAAAGCTGTCCTACTGCCTTGGCTTTGACGTGTCAGTGCTTCCCTTCTACTTCAGGATGTTCTTTACCAGTGGCACAGTGCGATATGCCCAAAGAGACTGCGCCGGATCCCCAAGTCCTAACGACATCCGTGCTCGTTGGCTGTTCTCAGCAGCAGAGAGTCGATGGCTCAATCCGGGCGCCTTGGCCCAGTCGATCTCGTGACCTTGGCCCAGCAACTCAGTGCACATGCGGTTCGTGGTCTCTAATAGACTACCCGAAAAGCTGCTTCGGCTGGATGTCCATGTGTTTGTTCGCCTTGGAAGGGGCAGGTACTACGGTACGTGTGCTTGATGCACCGGTAGCACCGGTAGCACCGGTATCCAACCAAATGCCAGGTTCTTTGACCTGCACCCCCTCGTCTCCTCTCTCTCTCTCTCTCCAAGAAAGGTCAGCGAGGTATTAAACACTACACCATGACTGAAAGATCAACACATGCGATACTTCCATCTAATTCTACCTGGTTCCCAGCTAGTTAACTAACTGCCCTTCCAGCACCGGCCTAGCATGAACTCAGGCAAGTGACCAAACCGCAAGCCGGATCCGAAGAGGCCACCGCTCGGTGGCCTAACCTGGACCCTCAAGAGCTCAGTATGTCATGCCACTACGCCATCACTGATTTCTCAGTTGGGAGTTTATCTCACTTCCAGCTTCTCCTCCGATTCTTTCTTACACTTGATGGCCTGTTCAAGCTCTCAATCCTGCTTCTGCTGCAGCCTTCAACAGGACCCCTAAAGGCCCAAATTCGCCTCTGAAGAATATCATCAAAACACAGCGCTCAGCAGCTCAACCCACCCACCTGCGTCCGCCCCGCGTGCGTCCGCCCCCTTTTCATCTCCCCCGCGAGGCCCTGCGCCGCGCTGGCGCGGTCCTCCGGCGCTTCGGCCAATGCGCTGCACAGCCACCTGAGGGTTGCGCCACCGATCGACCACCACCTCTTGGGAGAGTTCCCTGGGAAATCTGGTGAAAGTTCGACCGGAGGAATGTTCCTCTTGGATTCATTCGGTTTTTCTTCTGACTATTAAACATGTTGTGTGAGTTGTGTGTGCTTTGGTTAATTGAATCATCTGCGGGGTCGCCGCTAAGGGAGAACCCTGTGGGGGGAGGAAAAAAACGGAGATGGGACACTTTCTTCAGGTCCTTCAGCCAGTCTGGGACCATCCGAGCCGGTCATCGCCCGGAGCCGGTCATCGCCGTTTTAGCATACCAAACCTGCATCCTGTGGCGTTGTGTCAATGGTGTTGAACCTGCCCAATTCCAACATTCAAACAACACCTTCAACTTGTTACACTGTGCAACACGTTTAACTTACAGTATATTCCGATTCCCGTTTAACGTACTTTGTGTAGGGCCCAGGTGGACATGTCCACAACAACGCTGCAAATGTAAGAACTCATGTTGCAACCCATGTTGAAAGAGAAGCAGGAACTTCTTGCTCAGTCCTTAATTTTATCCAAACGATGAAACATGATGAAACGATCTCCAAAAAAGTAGGCAAAAACATATAAAAGCACTGTTTTATCAAAAGTTTTAACAATCTCCGTAACCTATGAAAGAGCCATACAAACAGCCTATTCTGCTAACTAGCTTGGATCTATTGCAGACTTGTGCTGAGTAGGACCATCTCTCCCCCGCCCAGACGCCCAACCGCCCCTGGCCTGGCCGACCTCTCCGCCTCGGAGGTGTCCTCCGGCTTCGCCGCCCTCAAGCGACCGTGCAGCTCCTTTCGTGCGGACCGGCGTGCGATCGCGGAGCGCGGATCGCGGATCGCGGACCGGGGTCGGATCTGTTGGGAAAGCTCTGTTACGATCGGACTGACGGAAGGACACAATTGGAGCTGTTGAATCCGGTTTGCCACCAGAAACGCCGTGCCACTTTTGCTGCTTTTTCCTGGTAGGGATCTTTTGAAATCTTTTGCCACCAGTTAAGGTCAAAGCAATCAACAAACTGTGCGGCTGAAGCTGATGAATCATCTGGTGAGTGTGTCACCGTGCTCCATGTCAAGCACATGATCGGAGTTCTGGTGAGTGGCGAGTGGATTGCAAGCTATCCTGGCGTTCGGTGTCTCCTTCACCATCTGGACCCACCGGAAAGCGACAATGGCGCAAAGGTTGCCCCGTGCTCTTTCTGCGGATTGCTTCAACAGGGCAGTCAAGGCCTTACGTCAGAAAACCATGCCAACATGAGAAAACCAAAAAATGTTGCATTGATGTTGCCGGACCCAGCTCCCCCTTCCTTTTGGCCTCCATCTGCTGCTGTGGGCTGAGTGCATAGAAGCGCCGCCAGCCTCTGCGTGGCTCTGGGACGAGGATGAATGACATCCAGGTCTCGTCGTGGGCTGAAAGGTCAAACAGCCCTGCAGAGAATTCCATAGTGGACCAGCCACACCTTAATGTAGACTCTTGATGAGCTAATCTGCCCCAATTTGGATGCGCGGACGCCTTTTCATATGGGTGGTTTGTGCATCAAGAGTCTACCTCCAAAAGGGGTTTCAAGGTCCTGGTTTCATATGTCCAGTCCCCCGGCCGCCGCGTTGGCAACCCTTCCGATTTGGCACACTTGATTCACGTGTGTAGGTATACCCTCCCACGACCTCACATGGAACCGGGTCGAATAGACCGGTAGGTTTCGACGATTTGACGAACACCCACCCGGTGGTGTTGGGGGGGTCCATGTAAACAAATGCCGGGGAGTACATTCCATACATGGAGTGTGTGGGAGTCAAAACATTCCAAACTCTTAAGCCAAAGACGAGCATCTGATTCCACATGCAATGAGCAATTTAGCCCTACCTCTCCAGGAGAAAACATGAGAGGTATATAAAAGCATGAAAGACCATGAGTCGTGAGCAATTGATTTCCCCCCCCACGAGTCTTTCCATGTCAGATTTCTGACCATGACCATGCCATTGAATTCACTTTCTTTGCAAATCAATTTGATGTCTTCCCATGTCTGAACGGCTCCGGCTCGTCACGAACCGAACCGAACCGGCCGCTCCTGGGAAGGAAATGCGGTCCCCATCCACGTGGATCTCGAAGGGCGTCTCCTCTAGCAAGGCAGGCTTTCGTCAGAGGGCCGGGACCGAAACCACCCCAGTCACCTGACGGTTTTTGGGGAGAAGGAAAAGGATCCATGCGATTTTCGACATTCACACCATGTTTGAGGGACATAACTGAAACATTCCATGTCATCTCCATTCATTACAATGATTCATTGATGCGTTCCATGCATTCACACAAATTGAAATGGGTTGAAAAAAATGATTTGGGAGTCGCCCCCCCCAACAACTCAACTCGCATCAAAATGGCCCAATTAACTCACTTCGATCCCCCCAACTGGAGTCACCTCTGGGCCATTCATGTGGGCCATTCGGAGGGTAGCTGTTCCTACGATTCCACGGAGCATCGCCAATCACCAATCACACTCTCTTGTTCTTAGGAAACGTCCGACAAACTGTTTCATGTTTGTGTTTCTTACTTGCTCTGAATCTGACAATCTGATCAAGCAGAATCTCTCACCTTTTTCTATCTGTTTCAGCAACCCCTGCTCAGTCAACCCTGCCCTGGCTGCGATCCCACTCCCTTTTTGTGGTCGTGAACGCGAAGAATAGCTCGCTCTCATTCAGCGACCGTCTCAGCGTCGGCAGGAGCGGGGAGTTGCGTCGTGCTATCGGAGGTCTCCACCCAGGGCCGGTGCAGTTGAACCTCGGGCGATCAGGAACTGGGCGGCAGCTGGTGCTTTTTTCTCTTGAAGCCTCTCCAGAAGTGTTTGATGGTTGGTGGTGGCACTTGATTTAAACAAAGTGCATATTCATATTGAAGTTGTAGTGTCCAAAGTCTACACATCTCATCCTCGGTTTTACAATCCAAGAGTCTACAATTACAGTGAGGGATTCGGATGATGGTTCCAGGTCGGCTTCTCGACCTCCAAACAGGGCCAGTCCAGCACAAACACAGCGGTTTCGCCCTGTAAATCACACGTGATCCACCTGTCCTGAGCGGGGAACACACCACTATAGTAAGGTAGCCTTCAAAGACCATTAAAAGAAAGGTTGCCCAAATGTTGTAGTATTAAGCCCTTAAAGTAAAACAATGGTTGCAAGGCGTATAGGCTTCAAAATGGAGTCACAGGGATCAATTGGCATGGTTAGGTTTCTTGAGCCGAAGGAAAGCCATGGTGTTTCGAGGCAGGCCATGCTTGCCGCAGATGGAGGTGGTCGGAGCCTCAAGTCAAGGTACGAACAAAGAGGCCTAAAATGCCCAACCTGGAAGTCAGGGGCCCAGCGGTTGCATCAGACCGAGTTGATTTTTCCGGTCGCATCAGACCTAGTTTTCACTGTCCCTCCAGCGGTCATCTTGAACGTTTCATCTTAGACACTTGGACAGCAGTGAGCAACCCTCAAAGGGTGACCTGGAGATGATCCAATCGCTGTTGGGAGGAGCTTCTCCCCCTTCTGACAAGGTATATGGAGCCTCTTATCCACCCGGCAGCACGCGCCTACATGCAAACACCTTCCCAAACCGCTCGAAAATCGTCGCACCCCTTGAAACCAAGGCTCTACATGGCAGGTTTGTGGCGAAGACGCCATCCAGAAAGCATGGCCTGGCGCTCTCTCGGACGACATGACTCGGCGTCAGAGGTGGCGAGGACATGACATGTGTCGTGGGAGCAGGAAACGTGTCGGTCTCAGGAGGGCATGTTCCAAAACCAACTCAAAACGAGTTACCAGCATCAGATCTTTGATCTTGGCTGGGCCACGGCAGGCCCGCTGGCAAGGTGGGACCCTGAATAGACACGATCCAAAGTGAAATGATTGGAATATCATGGAATATCCCTAATTACCCGGGATATATCCTACATTGACCCCCAAACCACCCCTGACCTGATCAGCAGTCCCATGGAGCATCTGGGTACTATGTCGTGCCTCCGCAACGTGCCAACAAAAATCCGCATAGACGACAGAAGGAGCCAGCCAATCAACTCGCAACTCCTGGTCCGTCACGTGCCATCGCCACCCCAACAGACTGGGCTCCACTCCAGCCCAGTCCGTCGTCCGCCTTCGGCACTGTACAGTAGCCCCGCCACATCTCGTTCCAATTGCAATTGTTTCGCTGAAAGCCTGGGCCGAGGCCGAGCCATACCCCGCCCCTCCGGGCCCCTCCGGGGGGGTCGGTCCGGAGGAAGATTCGCTGGGGGGGGTCTCGCATGGCAGGGTGGTCCGTCCGAGATGTGAGATGAGTGGGGATCTACTTTCTGATCTCGTTGGAGGCTTTTCCATGCCCTGAGGTCCTCCCACCTGGGCTGAAGGGCCACCGTTCAGCCAGCCGGGCCGACCGTCTCACCGGGGAACGCGGACGGACGTTCGAAAGAAGGACCTTAAGAGGACCAAGAGGCTCTTCCAGGATTTGGTAGACCTTCCGGAACTTTTCGGCCTCCTGCCGCCGGCGCATGGAATTCCGGGCGGATTTTGCAGGCAGATCTCCTCTACACTCAGTGCACATTATATAGCTGCATATTCAATCCTTCAATCCCTGTTAGAATTCTGGGGGTGATGTTGGGGACCTCACATGTTGCAAGAAAAGTGTGTATAACATGTATGTCCCCCCTGGGATTCTCAGAATTGGAAGACCTCAAAGTATTTTGCTTACAAAATGATGGCTCCTGCAACCATCAGAAACGAGGGGCTGCTACAAAATGAGATTCCAGGGATACCCTTGTTCGGCTATTCCAGCAAACATGGTCAAAGATGGGGTCACTACAAAATGACATGTCAGCCACTCAAGGTAAAATCAGCGCAAATCTCAGGCTCAAGAGCCTAGTGTCTCTACAAAATGATATGTCAGCCATCCAGAAATTGACATCTTTCAGCACTGACTCCAGAACGTAAGATCCCTACAATATGACGTTCCAGGGTAAGCTTTCTAGGAGACAAGGCCAAGATCCCCTATAGAATGACCACCCCATGGTGTTAAAAACCAACATATGTTATATATAAATTCATCTGTAAGGTGCCCAAGATCACTGATTCTATAGGAAAAATGATAACGAGGATCATATTCATTCATAGGATGACATATAGATACCCTGGAAGACTTCTTTTCCACCACCCGCGGCACCGTGCCGATCCGTGCCGGAGTTCTTCCCGCGCCTGGCGCTCGAGGTCGAACATGGCCGCGGTCATCGCTTGCTGCGCACGCTGCATCGAATCTTCGATTCGGCGCGCGCCTGGCGCGGTGGCGCCCGCGGTGCCGGCCGCGGTGGGTGGAAAGGGGATCGAAACGCTGGGAGGATTTCCAGGGTGGCTGGATGTTCCAACGTTGATGCATGCGAGGACATGCTGACATGGACCTCGTTCTCTTAACCCTCGGTCCTGCTACGAGAGTGACCCCACCTGGGCGAATCCCAGCCCGAGGACGGAGGTCCCAGCCTTCATCGGTTGGGCTTGCCATTGGAAAGCACTGGCTCCAAGAGAACCCCCGACGACGGGCTAAACACATCAGCTTGAGCCCAAGTGGCCGCGTGCGGCGTTCGCCACTGCTTTCGAACGTCTTTTGGGGGCGCACGTTTCGCGACGGCTGATGTGCTCTGGTTCGGCCTCCAGGATGCATGCGCTTCCGTTTTCCTGAACCATGACGGAAACACCGCTACGTAGTCTGGCCATGTTGTTGATCACCTAGTTTGCAAGGCGTTTACTTCCCATTGTAGAATGGTCTGGAGGTTTTAATTCACACCGTGACACCACCCAAGTACGTGGGACGAGTAATGTCCCACACCTGTACCCAAACAGGTTCCTTGAACAAATGTGATGTGCAGCCGTGCAGCACTTCGTCTGTTTCTCACCATGTCGAACCTCAAAAGCCTGAATCAAAGACTGAAGTTCTGCAACGTTTGCCTCAAAGACCCTGAGGAGACTTCAGAAACAAACATCAAACACATCCAACAAACTCGCCAAAACCAATGCATCCAACCACTCGCCCAAACCCAAACACTGCCCCCTTCTGTCATCCCCCCAATCCGCCGTTCCCCACCACAGCAACGTACGTTGCCGCTCCTCGCCCGTTAAGAGCCACCAGTAGAGGATCCCCACACCTCCGGCCCGCGTGGCGGGCACCAAAAGGCTCAGACGAGGGGAGTTGCTTCCCTGCAGGTTGGGAACAGGACGTACGATGTCGATGTTGAAGGTTCGATTTCAGGCTGCAATTTCGTGCATGGCCGGGTGGTTTTATGAAGCAGTCTGAGATGGGGAAAAAAAGAAGATCGACGAATAAAATGTGACATGCGGAAGAATGTGGCACCTCCCGGTTGTGAACTTTTTTGGCCTGGTCTCCATAGAGAATCTGAGCTTCATTTTGCAGGAACATGTCATCAACTTTAAACTGACCATGTTCTTCCCCCCTTGGAAACACAAAAGAAGGACTTATTGCACTTCCTTTTGAACAAGATTGAACAAGTCACTTGAACAAGTCCCTTCACTTGCGCTTGTCTTCGGCCTTGAAAATCCACTTCGGCCCCAAAATCCGCCTTGTTCGACCCTGACCCTTCAGCTGACAGCTCCCACACACCCCGCAGCTCCCCCGGCTCGGCGCTCCGGGCCATAAACGTCGCTGGCGCCCGCCGTCAGCAGTCCACGCAGGACTTCCGGTGGGGTCGCAGCGAGGTTCCCACAGAAGGCCTGCAGAAGTGTCGGCGGTGGATGGCGGTGGATGGCGGTGGATGTGCCATGGATGTGCCATGATGTTCAATGATGTTCTCTCTTCTCTTGAGCATCTGGGTTTAAGGGTTTCTTACGGTTTCTTTCTCTTCTCAAGAGCTGGCTTTAGCCGGGCAACCCGGCGGATGTTCAGGACTTTTTGGGAGGACATCCGACTCCACTCATCACATCCGACTCCACACATCTCCGGAGGCACGTCGCCTTAACTTTCAATTCCGAATTGATGTGGTCGGATGTGGTCGGCCCTGGAAGAATCTCCTGGAGATGGGCCTGGAGAATCTCTCCCGTTTGGGATCCAGTCGTACCTTGTCAGGTACGCTGATTGGAGACACTATGTAGGTGCCAGGAGGGTCCAGTCGTACCTTCTGGTTCCGATTTTGAAGTGGTGCCACGGTGTGCCACGTGGTCCTTTCAGCCTTGGCTTCCAGATCTACGAACTTCCCACCTCCTTCATTCAGCTTGGCCATTCCTGGCACCCAGTCAACGTGCCAACGAACCCTGCCTCGCAGTCATAGCAAGCTGAATAGACGTCAATGTTCCGCGGCTGCCTCACTCAGCCCAATGGATGCGTCGGTGGACGCTCTTCGCTTCCGGTGGATAGGAAGCAAGTCGACGAACCAACACCTGCAAGTTTATGTGGTTCCCTACCACTCCAACTCACGAGGTTTTGGAAGAGGTTCTCTCTCTTCCAGAGAAGCTGCTCCGACTGTTAGACAGTTGGACGGGCCCTGTGAGCTCGGTATCAAACTGAAACATGAGACAAAACTAGGCCCTGGATCCAAGTGTTCCTGGGCATCAGCTCAACTACAAGAAGCACTCTGTTGCTAAGCACGCTGTTGCTCTTTTCTATCTGATGTGTGTGTGTGTCACCCCCTGTATCTAAGGGTTCCACCTCTAACCTCTGG